AAAAAAAAAAAAAAAAAAAAGAGCGCATCTGCGCCACATCACTAATTTGCACATGGCGCATGGCGCAGCGCACCGCACGGCGCACAGCGCACGGCAGAAGTGCGCCGCCGCAAGTATGGAAAAATGAGATCAGATGAACCAAAAGCAAGAGAACTCCAATTAAAATTTGAGGAAACTTGCCTAGCCAAGGGTAAGATAGCACTCATCAGAGTGCCAAGGCCTAATCTTCACAATGTGGGATTACCCAACACAAGCCACTAGTTTAGAACCATGACCAGTCAATAGCATAATTGACTCCCTACATATCCGAGTCAGCTCCTCCTTAAATCATTCCAAGTAGCCAACCCAAACATACCATACACAAGCAACACTCCTACACCCCCTCAGCCTAATTAGAACAAACCCCCCTCAAACACCTTGTTCCAGCACGACAAGGATCCAACACAGTAGGATATAGGGTCTCCTCCTATTAAAGTCTATCAGACTAACGAAACCGTCACATAGCATAACAACAGGAAGAACCGACACTCAACAATAGGCCTTAACTCTACCATCGTCCCTCCATCACCTCAACCCCTCTCACCAACAGTCCTAAACACCAATCCCCAAAACCCCGCAGACATTAACCTACAATGTGGCGGAACACATAGCCGGCAACCCCGCCACTTCCCTACCTCTAGCACTCCCCTCCCCACACACACAACCAACCAACCACTCCCTCACTACTGACAGCCGCTCTCATACCCCGCAACCCAACTCTAGCATAGCAGAAACCTCTGCAACCATAACAACAAGCCAAACTACACCCCAGTACCATGAGTTCTCAAAATCAGAACTAGTTCCACCTAGAAGTCAGGTTTCAAAACGTCAGATCTCCTTCAGATGAACGCAAAGAAAAGGCTAGACTTCAAGGCCTCAGCATTAAACAGTGAGATTCTAGCCAGATAGGGTTTAGGGTTTTAGAAGGGAGCAAGGTAGGGCATAAAACCAGCAGTTCCAAAATACAAAGACAATCCGGCGGTCAAAAGACTGAGATGAACAAGCTGGGGGGCCCTGACTACACCAGCAAAAGCAAGCATCGGTTAGCGAGACCCAAAACATCGGATATAGCAACCAAGGACAGGTAGTAGATAGCCCAGGCTAACTTAGGCAGGGGTGAAATACGGTACATCCTTCCGCAGGGAAGCAATCAATGTCGTCTTTCGGGCCTCCGCACCATAAG